ATCTTTCCATCTGGTACAGCAGTGGCAGTAAGGGAGTCGCAAACAGGTTAATGGCCTTTGTCTCTTTCAGGGTGATCCAAACCTAAGTGGGACCAGGGTGGGAGGTGGTGGGTTTGGTCTGAGACCATTAGTTTTTAGACTGAATTGCTCCATTATTATTTTTTTAACACCCATTCAGTAATTATTTTGTCTTACAAAGCCTCTTTTTTAAAAATTAGTTGTTGCCTGCCTTTACTACAACAGAAACACAGGCACAAGGGCTAGCCCTGGGCAGTCCCAGGTGCCCAGCATGTGCATATGACCAGTGCTGATGAGCCAATCACACCTTGATTACTACGCTTAGCTAAGATGCAGGTTAAAGTGCTGATCAGCCTTGAGGTTTCTACTCTACTTTCCAAGCCATGGCCTATATGACTTTTTTTTTTTTTTTTTTTTTGAACCATGGTGCTGCAGTGATGTATGCACACAGCCTCCCAGGCTGCTAGCACGATGGTTACAGAGCCTGTACTCCATAACTGTATTGCAGTGTAACGAACTGGCTGAGCAGTTACTCACAGTCCAGCCAGAGTGAAGGGGACCATCCAGATACTCAGGCTGGTGCTGGGCTAGTTTCTGCTCACATCACAGGAGGAAATGCAGCATCATTCCTGCAAAGGCTCCCCTCCACTACAGAGCAGTAGGTACATCCTAGCCAGCTGACAGGACATTTAAATGCCCCTTCCACCCGCTAAGCCAAGGTCTGTAATGTCCACATAGAAAAAATACTGTATGGCATTGCATTAGGACATGCTGTGTGTGTTCAGGAAGATTACAGGACTTTTTCCAAACATGATGCTTTTTAAATTGAATAAATCATGATGCCAGGGAAAGCGGTGATTTTCCAAACACTGAGATTTCCCCCATCCCAACTAGTTGTAGAATCATGGCCTGACAAAAACAAACAAACCTACACCCTGCCAGTCCTCAATTCTGTATCCCCATTTTGCACCCAGCCTGTTACACCCACCCTATTCCCCAGCGCTCTTAAATGATACCCTGCAAGAACAAAGGAGGTAGCAGGGGGTGCAGGCAGCCTCCCCTGTGGTTGTGTATTTAACTTCAGCAGCTCTGCGATAGGCAGAGAGCCTGCCCAGGACAGGCAGAGGGGGCTGCTTTAGCAGGTTTTGATGGGTGACCGCAGCCTGCAGCAGCTGGGCCCTGCCTCCTAAGGCTGCAGCATCCTCCCTTTGGCTCTGTTCAATAAAGTTAGGATAGGTGTGGGAGGGGAGGGATGGCACATATACTTACAGAAGCCCAGTTTCAAGTCAAATTTATAAATTTGAGCTCCATCCTAGATGTTTTGGTTCCGTCTCACACAACTAGTTGGTAAATTTCTCTGATAGCCAAGCCCAAGGCAGCAACAGATGCAGCTGATTATAGCTGTGGTATGATGCCAGAACAAGATACCAACATCTGGCACAGTATCTCCCTCTGTTATCAGTAGTTGAGTATATGCTTTACATTTTTTTTCCCCTCCTCCTCAGCAGCACATTTTCTAAGGTACGGTTGCATAAGATGTTTTTTTTTGATAAGGTAGAGGCTGGCTTCCACAGCTGTTGGATGGTACATCAGATTTTCAATCCCGTCATTTAATGAGAATGCTGCTCCAATTGCTGGTCTTAAATGCTGTAGCATTCACAACTCATTCATCTTTACTGACTCTGTAGGGTAAAATTGTCCATTGCAAGTTGCAGCAGAACCTTTCTTTTTAATTATTGACAAGCAGCCTTGGGTAAATGCACTTAGATGAGATGCTGGAGGGAAGAAAATCTATCCCTTCTACTTGGTTAAAAAGAAAATCCTTCTTCCTCTTCAAGCAATGAAACCTTGACCCTTAGTTGAAATAAGCACAGTTCTTGATGGAAAACTTGCTGTAGTGTCAAGGAGTGAGAAGCCTCCAGCTCCCTGTTCTGCCTCAAACCCTATTCTGAAAGTGTCCAAAACAGAGAAAGGGTAAAAATAGTTGAGTAGATGCTATCTGAACACCTGGGAATAAATAGCATGTTTAGTGGCCTTGTCAAAGCAAGCAATGAGCACGCTTACCTTCCAGTTCTGACTCACAGAACTAGGCTGTGCAGTTCTGTGCTGCACAGTGAAATCAAACACTCAACTGCAATTTTTTTCATCACCCTCTAAGGGCAGGGCCTCTTGTCATGTACAAACAGGAGCACCCAATTTGCCTTCTGCCAGAATAGCCACAAGGCAGCGTACATAATGCCAAACCACACATGGATGAGGAGGCCCAAGGCCCAACACTGCTCCCGTCTTCTGACGCACACCAGCAAGGTGGG